TTCCGACCCAAGATGCCTACCTGGGAGGTTCTCTGCCCAGGTCCCCTCACTGGGCTGGTCGACAGCCCTTTCATCTGACCAGGGCTTGGCACACAGACCACCCAAAAGTGAGCAAAGCTCTGTGGCTCCCCCCTCCCCCCCCCCACCGCCCCAGCCAGGTGCCCTTGTTCCTGGGCAAGGCTGAAGCCAGCTTGTGAAGACCAAGACTTTCTCCTCTTCTGGAAAGGGGTACTGCCCCGGGGCAGACGTCTGTCCCTCCTCGAGACTTCTGCTGCCTGTCTGCATTCCCAGGGAGGACTCGGGTCCCTGCATGTCCTGGCCCGGCCCCCAGCTGTGTGGACCTGAGGCCCTCCTCCAGCCAGTGTGTCCCCCATAGGAGGTCTTGAGCTTGCCAGAGCAACTTGGAAGGGCTCATCCATCGGGAACACGCACAGAGGCCTGGGGCCTCTGCCACCCCAGTCTCAGGACCCACATCCCTGAACTCCAGAGTCATGCCCCACCCCTGTCTGTGCCCTCTCCGTGCTTCACACCCAGGTGCTGCTGGCGGACTCAGAGACAGCAGCCCTGCCTCTGGGAGGCCAACTGGACGAGGGGGACACGCCCCTTTGAGGGTGCGGGGGACAAAGAGAGGGTCGAGCTGTGCAGTGGCATGGACTGTGGGTGACCCCTGGTAGGGCCAGACCAGGGGGTGGGACCATGGAGACCGCAGACGGTGACCCAGCCACCAAGCCTGGTGTCTCATCAGTGTCATTAAACAAGTGACATAACAAATAGGCCTGGCGGTCTGGGTGACGAGAAGCCCTCTGAGCCCCGGGAGCCAACCCTGAGGCTCGGAAGTCAGGGTCCTGCTGGCGCAGTGACGAGGTTCCGGCCCAGGCGCTCTCAGAGCCCCTGCTGGGCACCTACAGTAGCTGCAGGGCACCCCTGCAACAGCAGCACTTGCTGGGGTCAGAGGGCGCTGCTCCGGCCCGGCCCCCAGGTCCTGTGTCCGTGGGCCCCCAGGGTGGAGCGGGTCAGATCCCAAGGATCACAAGGAAGCAGCCTGGAGGGCAGAGGTTCCTCGTAGGCTTCCGAAAAGGCAACACTGGGCACTTCTCAGGCTGGGTCATGGGACTGGTGTCTACTGTCCCTTCCAGGACATGCGATCTCACATGTGCTTTTGTCCCTATGAGCTGTTTCCTAACAAGGAAATGCTATTTTCTGTCAAGTAAAACGATGGACATGTAAATACTAACACAATTTCTGCATCGCCTGAATTGCCCCGTGACCTGCTCCGTGGACCCATTCCGGTGCTGGGCAGGCTCTCCTGGACTGGGGCACGGCCCCAGCACAGCCCCCAGGCTCCGATCTGCGCGTGCTCCCCGGCTCCAGGATAGTATTTCCGAGGATGTGGGCTGTGCTGGTTTTCTGATGTGATAACACACAATGCTAGTCAGATGGCCTAAAAGTTCTGGGACTTTCATTTTGACTTTTACTGTTTGTTTATTTATTTATTTTGAGAGGGAGAGCACAAGCTGGGGAGGGGCAGAGAGAGAGACTCCCGAGGAGGCTCCCCACTGTCAGGTAGAGCCTGACATGGGGCTCGATCTCATGAACTGTGAGATCAAAACCTGAGCTGAAATCGAGTTGGACGCTCAACTGACCGAGCCACCCGGGTGCCCCTTCATTTTGACTTTAAAAGAAGTGTCGTCTCCTTCACCAAAATACAGGGTTTTTGCTATTTCTGATATTCTCCATTATGTGCTGTATTCCGTGGATTAGGCCATTCAGAAAAATAAGCGTGTAGCAATTCGCCTGACATGACCAGCACTGCAGGACAGCATGGGAAGCAAGGGGGAGGGAAGCGTGTCTGGGGTGCGTGTATGAAAGCCACACCAAACAGCTACACTCTTCCTTGAAACACTGAAGGTGCTATTTGTTCTGAAGGTTGTACTTTGAAAATTTGTAGACTGCGGAATGATGCACTCACCCTGCCCTCGCTGAAGCCATTTTTGCAACTCGGGATGGTGCGTGCAGCTCCCAGAGGGAGGGCCCCACGACCCCAGGAGGCCACGGAGGCCACGGGGCACGAGCCGTTCCTACTTTGTTGAAGCAAATGTTTGGGCTTTCTGCTAAACGGAGCTGAAACTAAACACCGCACACACCTGACCCTTTTCTTGTTTCACTGGGCAGGTGACCACCTCCAGCATAAGGGTGCACAGAAGTTGCCAGAAGGGGTATCTTTGCCTCATTCTTGATTAAAAAAAAAAAATTTAACGTTTATTTTTTGAGAGACAGAGACAGAGCATGAGCTGGGAAGGGGGCAGAGAGAGGGGGAAGGTCACAGATTCTGAAGTGGGCTCCAGGCTCCCAGCTGTCAGCACAGAGCCCGACGTGGGGCTTGAACCCTCCAACTGTGAGATCGTGACCTGAGCCAAAGCCGGCCGCCTAACTGACTGAGCCACCCAGGCACCCCCACCTCATTCTTGATTTTTAAAGGAAGTATTTTTTTTTAATTTTTTTTTTTATTTTTGAGACAGAGAGAGACAGAGCATGAACGGGGGAGGGTCAGAGAGAGAGGGAGACACAGAATCCGAAGCAGGCTCCAGGCTCCGAGCCGTCAGCATAGAGCCCGATGCGGGGCTCGAACTCACAGACCGCGAGATCATGACCTGAGCCAAAGTCGGAGGCTCAACCGACTGAGCCACCCAGGCGCCCCTAAAGGAAGTATTTTTAACCCCACCACAAGCATGCTAGGTGTGGTGGGAGTCTCGAAATACCTCTTCCAGGTGACTGTGGTTCCATTCCGCAACTAGTTAATATGAAGTTTTTTCCTCCATGAGTGTTGTCTTTTGACAGATGCTTTTTCTGCACATAATGAAATATGATTTTCCCTTCAGGCTGTTAACATGGTGTATTACAGTAACAGATTCTCCAGTGTTGAGACAAGTGTGAACTCCTAGAATAAACCCGTGGAGGGGGGAGCTTTTGACACATTAAATTAAAAAAAAATCATAAAGATAAGAAATGATAGACTGACCACATAACCGTAAAGAACTTACGTACAGCAAAATATCGTAACATGAAGTCCACAGCAAATCAGGAGAAACATGTAAGGTGATCTGCTTGGGGAGAGGTGGCAGGGTGATGTCCTGTCCTCTGGAAGCCTGGCCTGCTTTGCAGTGCCGCAGGAAGCCTCTGGGGCAACCCCCTCCCCCCCCCGCCCCCGCCATCTGCCTGCCCACTGCCCACCTGCCCGCCCACCTGCTGTGGTCTAACTGGACCACTTCATGGAGAGGCTGCCTCATCATCTCTCCAGGGTCGGTGCTGCTCCCTCCCACTCGCCAGGGGGCTCAGTGCACTTCCCCTGTAAGCACTCACTATGCCCGCCCAAGGGCCTGATCTCGGTTCTTTCAGAGTCCAGAAAGAAAGCTGTTTGCCTCATGCTCCTTCCGAGCAGCCGGGGACAAGGTTTGGGTGGGTGTGAGCTTCTCACCAGTTGCTGTGCTTGCGGGAGTGTGAGGGGCTGCCCTCGGGACATGATGACCGGAGCTCTGGTCTTTGAGGCTGGTCCTGTCCACACCTGCCTTGGCTTCCTTTTCCTCCTTTTTACTTTACTTGTCGAAGGGGGCGAGTGCGTGTGCACGGTTAGGGTCATTGTGCCCCTGGCTCCTGGTTTCAGCAGCCATCTACCCAGGGTCAGCCTGGTTTCATCTCAGCCCCAAACAGTCCTCCCTCCCAGATCATTCTGAAGCAGACCCCAGACATCATGTCATTTCCTTCACAAATATTTCGGGAAGTACCTTCTAAAGACTACTTAGGAAAACAGCCACAGCATGACCACCACAGAATAGCGCTGGTGCCTGTCGAGTGTCCAGCAGCGTCCAGGTTTCCCGGATTGCCTCGCGATTTCTTTGTTTTACTTACTTGTAAGACTTTTAATTTTTATACTTAAATCTCTATACCCAATGTGGGACTTGAACTCACAACCAGGGATCAAGAGTTGTAGGCTCTTCTGCCTGAGCCAGCCGGGTACGTGTTTGTTCTTTCAAACAGCTTTATGGAGACAAACTCACACACCATACGGTTCACCCATCTAAAGTGTAGGATTCAACGCTTTTCAGCAGATTCACAGATGTGTGCAGCCTTCACCACGGAGAACTTCAGAGGATTTCCATCATCTCAGAAAAAAACCCTGTATTTTCTGGCTATTCCCCCATTTCCGCATAATCCCCAGCCCTAAGAACCAGTAACCTCCTTTCTCTGTACATGTCCGCACACTGGGCGTTTCTAGAAATGGAATAGAAATGGAATCATAGAATACAGGCCGTGTGTGTGTGTGTGTTTGTGTGTGTGTGTGTGTGTGTGTGTGTGTGTGTCCTTTGTTCACTCAGCATGATGCTTTCAAGGTAAGTGTTAGTGGTTCATTCCCTTTTCTGGCCAGTATTTCATTTCATGAATACACCATGTTTTGCTTACGCGTTCCTCACTTGAGGGACATGTGAGTTGTTTCCATCTTTTGGCCATTGTGAATGATGCTGCTGCAGGCATTTGGTGCACAAGTTTTTGGGGGGACGTGTATTTCCATCTCTTACGCGTATACCACTTTCTTCTGTGTGGATGTCCGGTTATCTCAGTACCACTTGTTGAAAAGACTACTCTTTCCCCACCAGTTGAGCACAAGTATGTGGGTTAATTTCCAGATTCTCAATTCACGGGGAGGCCGGCCCTGGCCGCAGGGTTCTCCCAGAGCCCAACACCCCATCTGCGGTGCAGGAGCCCCTCGGCTTCTCACCCCACCATCAGCTCTGAGCTGATGGCCGCTGGGGAAGGCAGCCCTGAGACCTCTTGCTGAGCCAGGAGCGTCAGCGACTCTGGTGCTACATCCTCACCCCCCAGAGGCTCTGTGGCTTTGTAAATCTTTCCGAAAACCGAGCCCTGCAAACAGATTCCCCACGGAGAGCTGCTGCCCATTTCCCTACGCAGCTCGACCACAGAGAAGTCACGGCTGGAGACCGTTATGGCAAATATCTACGTATTTATACGGCACATCCTCAGGAAGGCCCTGCACAGGGAGGTGGCATGGCGGGCCATTTCATTCACCAGAGCATGTGTCGGGAATCCGTGGGTCTGTCACTGCTTCTGCTGTCACACAGTTGTTCAGCGACACGGAGCTGGGCTGAGATGGAGGGTGGCAAAGGCCTGAGTCTGAGGGCGGCCGCGCCAGAATGCGAGAGAAAGTGCAACACTGACGCCCCATCCTGCGAAAGGCCACCGCTCGCTCAGAGTCAGCTCAGAGTTCTGTGGCTCTCCGTCCACGTTGTCACTGGTGTCCCTTTTTTTTCTTGGTGCTTTTAAATCCTCGTGATGCACCTTGACCGAAACAGATGGTAGAAGGTATTCTGAAAGAGAAGAGTCGTCTCCGTATTAAACCATTTGTTTTCCCAACAAAAACCCAACTCATAAAATAGCGTCGTGAGTTTATTCTGGCGAGCTCCTTCTCTTCCACTTTGAGGAACATTCAGGACAGGGCTGTCCCTTCCCAAGATGCCCTGGGCCCCGGGGTCAGCTCCCTTCCTACACCTGGCCATCCACCTCAGACCCGCTTCTACCAACACACTCTCGCCTGGGAGACTCAGCCAAAAGGGCCGCTCCTGACATGGGTTCCAGGCCCAGGCCTCCTGTGACCCACCATCTGGAAGAAACCCTGACTGCCACGGCATCCGGGACCCACTTGCAGGCCAGAGGCTGGGCGGCTACGCGAGGGCAGCTGGGGGTAAGAGTCTACCTTCTTATCGGTTTGCACTTGTTGGCAATTTCTTTCCTACTGTCCTGTGTCCTTCCCAGAATTAGACTCGAAAACAAGTTTAGCCCAATAAGAACACAATCAGCAATAGAAAAACAGATCAGTAGATCGTAACTTCGGCAACGACAGCCAACGTTCCTTCCATCCCAGTTTAGGCCACGATGCAAGGGGGGCGATGGTGCCTTCCCTTCCTGTGCCTCAGGGCCCAAAACAGGGCGTGCACAAGACACAAAGTGACTCGAGAGAAACAGGACCGGTCAGGCTCTCAACTCCTGCTGAAGCCAACACTCCAACTCCCTTCTCTCAGGGAGACTACTGCCCAGGGCCCAGCCCAGCATTCTCCTCACAAAGCACACACTCACAACCTGCCTCAGAAGGATGCCAGGCACTGACCTGTGGCTGGAGGTCCGCCGCTCGCCCACAGGCTCTGGGAGGGAGGCCGCGTGTTCAGAGCAGACTTCCATGGCATCCCCTCCTGATTGCTCCCCGTCATCCCTCGGAGCTTCTGCGGACGCTCGTACAGCGGCCCCGGGTGTGGCTGGGCTGTGGAGACAGGGTGAGTGGTGGCTCCTGTGGCCCTGTCTTCCCCCCCAAGACTGACCACAAAAACACTACTTTTCTTGCAAAAGAACGTTTTTTAACTGTTTTGGCAAAGCGTACTTTCCAGACTATCGGGACAAGCACAAGGGTTACAACAAAACCTTAAGTGAATGATCACATGACAGATGCCACGTTTGCAAATTTAGTGACAGTTACACCTCATGTTTTGAAAAAAGCATTTTTGTGGTGCCACGTGGTAAATGCCTCCCAAGGGTGCCCACTGTCTTTCCACAACCACGAGAAGTTTGCTAATGTTAACCTTGCTATCGAGTCTCATCCCCAATCCCTACTCAATCCAGCATTGTAGGACTCCTTTCCTTGAAATGGTCCCTCCGAGAGGAGAGAGTCATCTTACACTCAGAACCTCGTGACTCTCCTGTGTTGCAGTGGGCTCTCAGACTCACAGTACTTTAAGAGCAAAGACCTGCTGAGGACTACTAGCCTGGTAACACTTCGACACGATTCCCAGGATGTTCTGACAGACTCTGCCAAAGGAACCAGTTGCAAAAGGCAAAGAGATACAAGTTTAAGAATGACTCCTGATGCATTTCCCCAGGCTGTTCTGAGCAGTGGTGTGTAACAAAATGGCTTTATTGTCCAAGTCACCAACCAGACGAAGAGTTGGAGGGTCTGCATGAGGGGAGGGCCTCCCAGCCTGGGGCAGATTCCCAGAGGACGATGTCAGCAAAGCAAGTGGGGCTGCAGCCCCCAGGAGGAGATACAGGTAGAGCAAAGAATCAGGTGACATTCCTAGGTGCCCCAGGGCAGACACCAAGATGAGATCCCAGTCGTTCCCAACAGGGCCAGCAAAACCATCCCCTACTGGTTTCACTCCTCCTGCCTGAGAACTCCCCACCCAACAGCACCCTTAAAGTCTACACACTCAAAACGCTTTTCTAAATTCAGGGGCCACATCCTGAAGCTTGGCACGTGCACCACCTCGCGTACCCTCTGCTTTTCTTTGGCTTATCAAATCGGAAGTCCGCAGGGTAGAGGTGACATCTCACCAGGTGATCTTTCCTGTCTTTGCTGGTCTTGAACTTCTCTGCACAGCCTTCCACCAGGCACTGATACTGAAACAGAAACAGCGTCACCTCCATCCTGACCCACAGAGTCCCCCCACACCTTACCCCTGACCTCCAGCTGGGAGCAGTGTGCTGGGGCCCCCCCCCCCAGCTAGGCAAACAGCTTGGGGACAAACCCCTCCTCCGCCCGAGATGACTGCACTTGGCCCCAAGGAACATGGACACATCACCCACCATGTCCTGCCTTTCGGACAGGATCTGAAACAGTGAGTCATGCCACTCCAGGATGTGGACGTCCAGCAGGTGCACTGAGGGGAAGGCCCGTCTGCAGAAGGAGCAGACGTTTCTGTGCAGAGTGTGGTAGTGGTGCTCATAGTCCTCCAGGCTGTCAAACACCTGGCAGCAGCCTGCCACCTGACAGGTAAACTCAGGCACCCTGGCAAAGGAAACCACCTTGTGGGAATGCCGTCCTGCTGATGACAGAGGACCTTATGCTTCCAACTGACACCTTTCCTTTAAGCAGCCTGATAAACGGCAAAGCTCTGATGTTTCTTTGGCAATCTCAAATTCTAGTTTCTTAAGAACTAAATTTTCACAGACCAGCGAGGAGGGAGTGAAGCCAGAACAGAGGAGCATGGACGGTGGTCTGGCAGAGGGTAGGGTGGCGGCTCACCCAGGAGCGAGCGGGCTGGATCCAGGGAGGGGGCAGCGCTGGGCCCAGAGGCGAGTACCTGGGCCTCTCCGGCGCCTCTGTCACCTGTGTGAGCACGTCCTGAAGGTAGAGGTGTCGCAGCACGTCCCCATCCTGCAGGAAACGCACATCATGGGCGGGGCCGGTCTGCCAGCCCCGCCCCTGTCCGCTCCGCCCCCATCCGCACGCCCCATCCACGAGCACCCCGGCCCGTATCCGCCGCCTCGCCCGAAGCCCCATCCGCGAGCGTCGGCTCCGTCCCCGCCCGACGGTCCCGCCCCCAACCGCGAGCGTCGGCCCCGCCCACGGCCCCCCGCCCTGCCCGCCGGCCCCGCCCCCGCCGACAACCGCCCTCTCCCTCCTGGGCTCACAGACCTCGAAGAACTCGTGCTCCCGCGGGAAGCGTACCCGGCGCGCCGCGAAGCGGAAGGGCGGGGCTCCGGCCGCGGGGTCCCGCTCCACCGGCAGCGGCTCGGCCGCCCCGGGTCCCCCCGCCAGGCGGGAGTGCAGCGCGGGCGGCAGCTGCATCGCCCTGCGCGCTGGAGGCACCACAGCCTGCCGGCCACCGTCCGCGAGCCGGCCGGGGCGGGGCCGGAAGTGACCTCGCGCCACTTCCGCTGCCGCCGCGGGTTTCGCTGTGAGCTTAGGCGGACCGACGCCCGGACGCGCGGTGAGTCCGGCCGCGGGCTTTGGGGCCTGAGCCTTGCGGGGGGGGAGGCGGCGGGGCTCAGTCTCCCTTCCCCGCGCTCCGCCGCCGGCCGTGCGCCGACCGCTCAGGGGCGCACGGCCGGCGGGCGTCTCGCCCCTGGACCCCGCGCTCGGGTACGGAGCTGGCCTGTGCGCTGCCCCACCGACGGTTCACGTCCCAAACTCTAACCGTGCGGCTTCCCTGCTGTGGAGACTCCCACTCCTCCTCCGCCCTCATTACCCTCACCCTTGTCCACGCCGCGTTTGCCTCCCACCTGAAGGGCTGGCGCGGCCTCTGGGTCGTGCTGGTCTCCAGACCAGTAACCAAACTGGAGCCAGAGTGGTCTTTGCAAAATTCACATCCTACGGCAATGCTTCCTTGTTTAAAGCCCTTCGGTGGCTTCCCGTTACCTTAGTCCAGCGGCTCTCTCGTAGCCTGTCAGGCCTTGCGCGTTCTGCCTGCCTTTCTAGTGTCCTCCCTCCTATCAGCTCCTGAGGTGCGCAGGACTCTGTGCCCGGTGCTCAGTGCCCGCCGGTGAAGAAAGCAGAGGACGCCTCTGCCCAGCCGCGGACACGGCTGCCTACCTGGTGAAAGTTACCTAGTTAAAACAGCGATGGGTGATCCAAGGGACGCAAGGACGCTTGAGACTTACTGTGGGGGGGAGTGGGCGGGGTGGCCATGGCCGGACTCCCCTCCTCCCCCAGATACTTCGGCGTTGATAGGACCTGTACACCCATGCGTGCAATATAGTCAGGAAGGGGGGTACTGTTTCTTTAAAAAATTAGAAGATAATTTTAGAGCTGCCATTTAAAGAGCATAATAAAACTCTTTTGGCTCCTTCATCCTGGAAGTAAAGGCTTGTGGCCCCATCCCCAGTCCGTTTCACAGCTAAGAAGAGCCCTGGACAGATTCATCGCTTATGCTTTATTTTTCTGTCTCTGAAAAAGCATCAGGGCTCTTGACCTTTTTTTCACAAATTTTGTTTTACAAGCCCATTTGTGCAGTTAGTTTTTTTTTTAATTTTTATTTTTTAACATTTATTTATTTTTGAGACAGAGAGAGAGAGAGTATGAATGGGGGAGGGTCAGAGAGAGAGGGAGACACAGAATCTGAAACAGCCTCCAGGCTCTGAGCTGTCAGCACAGAGCCCGACGCGGGGCTTGAACTCACTGGCCGCGAGATCATGACCTGAGTCGAAGTCGGACGCTCAACCAACTGAGCCACTCAGGCGCCCCGCAATTAGTTTTGAACTCTCAACGAAGACTGTTTTCCTGAAATGTTCACTGGGGGGGGGGGGGGGCTTCGTGTGTGCCTAACTCATGGGTGAGGGAATGTGGAGGAGGCTTCTGGTAGCTCGCACTCAATGCCACGAGGAGGGAAGTTCTGTTCCGCCACAGAAGTCTGTGTCTGTGACAACTGAGAGAAGGACTCCGGAGCATCAGGAAGATGGAGTGGGCTGTCGTGAGCCTCTCCGAGTTGTTTCCAGCGGGGACGCTGCTAGCATTTTTGGTGGGACGTTTCTGTTGACGTTTAGGCGCTCTGGTCTCTTGCCCACTACACACCAAGAACACCCTTCTAGGCACTGTGACAATCAGAAGCGTCCCTTACACGTTTCCAGAGGGCCTCTAAGGAGAGCTACTGCCTGCGGGTGAGAGCCACCGTTCTTGCAAGAATTGTTCCAAATCCCCACAGAGGACCAGCTTCCTTGGAGTATTAACACTTGTAGTGGGAGGATGTCTGCACTTGTATTTTTGCCACAAATGTAAGGTTTGGTGAGGGTAGCTTTAAAGTTTATTTATTTCTGAGACAATGCAAGAGACAGAGTGCAAGCAGCAGAGGGGCAGAGAGAGAGGGAGACACAGAATCCGAAGCGGGCTCCAGGCCCCGAGCTGTCAGCACAGAGCCCAACGGGGGGGCTCGAACCCACAAACCACGAGATCATGACCCGAGCCGAAGTCAGTCGCTCAACCGACTGAGCCACTCAGGCGCCCCATGTGAGGATAGTTTTAGAATAAATGTTCACGTTGGGGCGCCTCGGGGGCTCGGTCGGTTAAGCGTCCTACTTTTCAGCTCAGGTCATGATCTCACGGTTCATGGGTTTGAGAGCCACTGTGCTGACAGCTCGGAGCCTGGAGCTGCTTCGGATTTTGTGTCTCCCTCTCTCTCTGCCCCTCCCCTGCTCGCTCGCTCTCTCTCAAAATAAATAAATATTAAAATAAGTTAAAATAAATACACATTCACTTCGATGATCTTTCTTCTGAAGCCCTGTCTCCACCTACTTGTATCTGGGGGACAGGTGTTTTCTTTCCATGGTAAACGCAGTGCCCTTGCCCTCTAGCATGACCTTGCAGTCCATCCATCATAGGACATCTAGTCTAGCCATTGTAGGACAACCCACATTCCTTAGGAACCCTTATAGAATGTAGAATGTGTGTAAAACCGATTGCCCTGAGATTCAAAGAGGCCTCAGTGGGAGACTTCTGTGTTGTCTTTTCTGTCTTGCTTGTGGTTTGCAGTGCCTCGTTCAGGCTCTTCCATGATCACTAAGGTAACTGATGGTGACTCCGATCCAGTTTTCCTTTGGTAAAACCAGCCATTTCTCCAGTAATGTTTCCTCATGGTCGGCCCTATGTAGTAACGGAATTTGTTCCTGCTTGTCTAGTAACAATACCATGGGAACTTATCCGTATGGGCCCTTTGGTGTTTTATAAGGATGATTTTATTTGATCTCCGCACCACCTCTATGGGTAGGATTTACTACTCACCCCTTGGCAGAAGAAGCCTAGAGAGATCAGGCTCCTTGCCGAGGACCTTACAGCCCAGAATTGGCCAAGTCAGGGTTCAGACTGCCTGGGACTCTGCAGCCCATGCCCTGCTGTGCCTCATGCCCATAACTGGTTATTGTGAACTCCTCCTGATTTTAAAAGTGTGTGCTAGTGACTTACGCACCAGCTGACGCTTAACTGTTCTGCTTTTATGTTTGAAGATTCCTGACTCTGGCCGGTTTTCGATGTTTAGCATGAGTTGATGATATTTGTACGTGCGGAACTTGTTTTCTGTGGCACAAGATTAGAGTCTCACTTGCCCAGTTGCAAATTAATATTTATTAGTTAATTAGCATATGGGTTGTGTGCTATGTCTACTGCTCGTTTACCTCAGGCCTCGTCTTCACTAGAGCTGTTAGCACAGTTTTGTTTTTTGTAGACGGCTTTCCTCTTAGCTTTAGGAGAACATATTGTTGATGTTGTTTCAGAGCCAAAACTATGAGTGAGTTTCGGATTCACCACGACGTCAATGAGCTGCTCAGCTTGCTGCGTGTCCACGGAGGGGATGGTGCTGAGGTCTATATCGACCTGCTGCAGAAGAATAGGACCCCATATGTCACTACCACTGTATCTGCACACAGCGCCAAGGTGGGCCCCGTCCTGGTGCTGCACTGTGTGCACTGAACAAGGTGGGCCCTGTCCTGGTGCAGCTCTGTGCACTGGACAAGGTGGGCCCCGTCCTGTTGCTGCACTGTGTACACTGGGTAAGGTGAGCCCTGTCCTGGTACAGTGCTGTGTACTAGGTAAGGTGGGCCCTGTCCTGGAACAGTGCTATGCACTGGACAAGATGGGCCCCGTCCTGGTGCAGTGCTGTGCACTGGACAAGATGGGCCCTGTCCCTGGTACAGTTTGTGCACAAAGTTCATAAGCTTCCTGACTGAGCAGCCACAGCATTACCAGTGCAGATGGCAGACAATACTTGTCAAAGGCTTTTCTTGGACCAAGAATTCTGCTCAACTCCGTGCTTCTGATGCTTCCTCATAATGGCCCCTGTTACTCACTCTGTTGTACAGATGAATAAATGGTGGCTCAGGGAGACTGCTGGGCTGTCACCCTGACCTCAGAACCCAGGTTCTGAGTCCCCTGAGGAAGGAGACTCAGATATTCCTCTGGATGGAAAGGAAGCTTCTGTATCAACTGCATTGCAATCCCTCTAAAGCAGGTTTTTCTGTTTTTATTCAAATAGCATATAATTCAAAATTACGGATCTTCAGTACGAGATAATTTTGAAATTTGTTTTTAGAAACACTCTGTAAAGCTTGTATTATTTAAATAGCTTGATAATGGGGTGCCTGGGTGGCTCAGTCGGTGACGCGTCCGACTTCGGCTCAGGTCATGATCTCGCGGTCCGTGAGTTCAAGCCCTGCGTCGGGCTCTGTGCTGACAGCTCAGAGCCTGGAGCCTGTTTCGGATTCTATGTCTCCCTCTCTCTCACCCTCCCCCGTTCATGCTCTGTCTCTTGCTGTCTCAAAAATAAATACACATTAAAAAATTTTTTTTTAATAGTTTAATAATGGCACAATGATAATTAGAAAAATTCACTGAACAGACAGACTGGGAACACAGAAGTGATCTTAATTTATTACAAGGGGAGCACCATAAATCAGTGAGTGAACATAACCCCTGAGCCTGTCCCTGGTTCCAGAGGAAATAGAGTTAAATGCGTAAACTTAAAAAACATTTTTTTGGAATGTTTATTCACTTTTAAGAGAGAGAACACGAGCTGTGGAGGGGCAGAGAGCCCAACACAGGGCTCGAACCCATGAACTGTGAGATCATGACCTGAGCTGAAGTTGGATGCTTAACCTACTGAGACACCCAGGCACCCCAATGCATATATATTTTTTAATGTTTATTTATTTTTGAGAGCGAGAGAAAGAGACAAAGTATGAGCAGGGGAGGGGCAAAGAGAGGGAGACAGGCTCCAGGCTCTGAGCTGTCAGCGCAGAGCCTGACACGGGGCTCAAACCCCTGGACTAAGAGACCATGACCCAAGCTGAAGTCGGACACTTAACCGACTGAGCCCCCCAGGAGCCCCTAGAG